GCTGGGCATTAGCGTGTCAAACCCGGCACGGTCTTCTGTGCAGCCCGATGAGACCATGAGCTTAAGTGAATTAAGCTATGTGAAAACAATAGACGCACAGTTGGTGCTCAGCAAATGTAAAATGGCATGCATATAGTTTTCTCAAGGGCCTGTGACCTGCTTTATCATTCATTCATGGCTGTGAAAACAGAGGCTCAAGGACAGGTAATTGTCCCTCTCTCTGCCATCTTACTTTGTATCTGAAGGCAACGGTCCCATAAAAGGAAGTACTCCCAAGTGACCAGAGGGAAGGATGGGTTTCAATTTTGCTCCATAAGTTAATCATGGTGTTTGTAATTTCACTCCTTGCTTCATTCAGTAAATATCTGCTCTGTTATACCCTGTACTATGTGGCAAGCAAGCAGCCGTGAGAAAGGCTACCTACCTTGGGTTCTGGGTTGCTCTAGTTGCCACCACAAGGACCCACAGGTCCATGGGGCTGCTTTCAAAATCCATCTATCTAATCAAACACCCCCTCCTTTACAGGTGAGGCGGTGGAGGGTCTGAGAAGGAAATGGTACCTGCAATCTCTTCCAGCCTGTAGGAGTCAGAGCTGGGACAAGAACATTAACTCCCTGGCACCTGAATAAGGCTCCTTCTACAGCATCAACTCCCCCCTCTTATCTGCCAAACTCTTCTTTTTTTTTTTTTTAAACTTCAGGTGACTTTTTTAAAAGTTTTATTTTTATTTTATGTGCATTGGTGTTTTTGCCATGGGTGTCGGGTCCCCTGGAACTGGAATCACAGACAGCCTTGAGCTGCCATGTGGGTGCTAGGAATTGAACCCGGGTCCTCTGGAAGAACAGCCAGTGCTCCTAACCACTGAGCCATCCCTCTAGCCTGCCAAACTCTTCTTTAAAGCTCAAACCTGCTGCCCCTCTCCTCCAGGAAGCCTTCCTTCCACGAGAGCTTGGGTCAGTCCACATTTCTGTTCATTCTGTTTCCTGTTACAGAAATCCCTATGTATATACAGGGAGTTCTGCAGGGCCCAGAGGAGGAGCTATTTGTAAGACCCCCCTGGAGCATCGCTCATTTTCAAAAGCACAAAATGCCTGTCAGGTAAATAGCTACAATAAAAAGCAAAGTAATGGAGTTTTGCAGGCACCCTGCCCAAGGAAGGAGAGGCAAGCCTGAGCAGATCCCAGCGTGGGGTGGGGTGTGAGTTCCTAGGCCAGAAGTGGGGGAGGAAGGCAGGCAGTTAGTTCTAGGAAGAGAGCTCTGATGTGGTCTCCATGAAGGATCAGTTGGGTCCCCGAGTGAGCACTGGGTGCTCCAGTTGGGGCCTGTCCAGGGCTGCCTGTCTGGTTCTGAGTTCCTTCATTTCTCTGGAGGGCCCCAGCTCTTTCCTCACCCTCCCCAGGCAGAGACCAAAGGAGCCTACCTCCCTGTCTCTTGCTCAGCCTGCAGACCCGGTGAGAGGACACACTGTAACTGCAACTGCCACACTTGCCTCGGCCTCTGACCGAACACTCAGGTTAAGATCAGTGACATTTCCAAAGGGAGCACTGGAGCCTCGGCCTCTGACCGAACACTCAGGTTAAGATCAGTGACATTTCCAAAGGGAGCACTGGAGCCTCTTCTCCAACGGGGGGTGGGGGGTGGGGGGGCTCGAGGTAGTTGAGGAAGAAGAGAGAGAGGCTGGAGGTGTGGACTGGGACTCACAATGTGGGTTAAGAGACACTGAGGGAGCCAGCCCCTTGTGTGCATGTGTCAGTTCCTGCCACCTGCCACCCTCACCTCGTTTTATAAGAGGTGACAATGGAGGCCTTCCAAATGCACACTAACCCCAAGGGCCCTCACTCACAGATTGGGGAGACTCCAAAGAGACTCACTTTATGGAAGCACATGAGGCCATTTGGAGGACCCTGCCAAGCCTGACCTACACCATGGTCACTCAAATGCAGGATGCTCAAAGCTCCACTACTCAAATGCAGGATGCTCACAGCTCCTTTATGAGCCAACATGCTTCCTGACTCCTCCAATATACCTCCATGAGAGGTCGTGCAGGTAAACACCCTCTTCCTCCAGTAGATTGGGAGGCTAGACTCTAACCTGTTTCCTAGGAGTTTAAATAATAAATTGTTGGTGAAATTATTAAGGCCACTCCACATAGTTAAAAGGGAGGTTTATTTAGTGGCGTAACTTAAAATGAAGGGATAGGTAGGTTGCAGGGTCTAGGAAAGGTGTGGCGCAGTCCGGTGGTGTTCTCTGGAGAACTCTGCTCGGTCTACCTCCAGCGTCCAGGGTCCAGGAACCAAGAAGAGAGGGTGCATCTGGATCTCGGGTCTTTAGGGTCCTCTCTTGGCCCCGCCTTGTAGGCGTGACAGTTACCGAAGCCTCAATGGGGGTTGAAACTTCTAGATCAAGGTTGGGATGGCTACCCACTACAATAAATTGTAAATTTGGACTTTAGAGATGTAAATTTTCATACAAAGGCAGCCCATAGTTTGCTGCAGGAGCTGTGCGACCCGTAGTACAGGCATGGGAAGGAAGAAAGCTGTTCACGGTGCCTGAGTGCAGCAGCATGCTGGCTTTGAAGCCATCGAAGGGGTGGACTCTCCCCACATAGCTTTTATTTATTTACTTTTTACCTTTATTTATGTGTATGTGTAGGTATGTGTGGGTGCCTACAGAGGCCAGAGGCATCGGATCTCCTGAAGCTGTAGGTAACAGGCAGTTGTGAGCCATCTGGTGTGGGTGCTGAGAACAGAACTCAGGTCCTCTGGAAGAGCAGCAAGTGCTCTAAACTGATGAGCACTCTCTCCAGCCCATGTTTGATTGTGGCTTTCTCTCTGCCCCCCCCTCCGTCTCTCTCCTCACCCCTCCCTCCCTCCCTCCCTCCCTCCCTCCCTCCCTCCCTCCCTCCTTTCTTTCTTTCTTCCTTTCTTCCTTTCTTCCTTTCCTCCCTTCTCCTTTTTGAGACGGGGTCTCATATAACTCATTCTGATGCAGAACTCCCTATGTAGCTAGGATGGCCTGAAAATGTTGATCCTCCGGCCTCTACCTACATTTTGAAACAGGGTCAGATTCTAGGTCTCCCAGGCTGGCCTTAAATTTGTGATCCTCTGCCTTGTCTTCCTGGAGTGCTGGAATTACAGGTGGGCAACAGTACACCTGCCCACATAGGCTTTGGAGAAAGAATGGCAGAGTTTGGATTTGGTCCTCAGTGTTGTGTTAGCTGGGGACATCCCGTGGGTAACCCGTCCAGACCGGCTGTTTGCAGGGACAGACATGTCTTTAGGCTTGGCTTCTGCAGAACCTTGAAAAGCAGAGTTTCAGGCACTTAAAGGGAGAACTCAGAGGATAATGCAAGGAGACACCTATATGTGGCCCAGGGATGAGACAGATAGGATCCCTTTGGTGTCTCTCAGGCTGGAGCGTTTTCCAGGTAGAATGATCCAGAGAGCAGAATCTGAACACGCGCACACACATACACACACACACACACACACACACACACACACACACACACACGAGTAAATAAAAAAAGGTGAGCAACATTTTAATTTTTCTCCCTTTTCCTTTCTGTGTATATTGTGGTGTGTGTGTGTGTGTGTGTGTGTGTGTGTGCGCGTGTTCAGATATGTGTAGGTATGACACATGTACGGGTGCCTGTGCATATGTATGTCTGCAGCTGTGGAGGTCTCAAGTTGAGGCAGGTGTCTTCCTTGATCACTCTCCATCTCATTTGCTGAAGCAGGGTCTCTGGATGAACTTGGAACTTGCCAACTTGGCTAGTGTAGCCAGCCAGCTTGCCCAGGGGATTCCCTCTCGTTACTTCCTTCACTGGGATTATACACAGGTAGCCATGCCCACCTGGCACGTACATGAGTACTGTGGATCTGAACTCTGGTCCTCATGCTTGGGCAGAATGCTCTTTACTCACTGAGACATTCATAAAACCCCACGTTTTAATGTCTTAAAATTGTTAATTGCATCTATCTATCTATCTATCTATCTATCTATCTATCTATCTATCTATCTATCTATCTATCATCCATCCATCTGGAGGCATATGCTTGCTGCAGAATGTGGAGG